TGCCCAACTCCAGTCCCACTCCATTGCTGGTATTTTTGGTCTTTTCTCGGTATCCGGCTGACTTCTGGTTTTGATTTCCGGTTCTGTAAAAATCTATTTAAATATTTGTGCAACCATTTCTTATTGATCCTGTCCAACCCATGTCCTCAGACTGTGCATTATAAATGAACAGCATTTCGTACCACTGAAAAGACAAGCAGTCTCTGCCTGGAAGACTGGAATACTCTTCCTTGAGTTTTCACGGAAGTATGAAATTATTGGAGCACTGCTCGATGGAAGAGCACGAAAATAAACTAAAACTAAAATGTGTAAGAAACACTCCGTTTGCGTCAAAGAGTGAAAAAATCCATGGATACCAGCCCATCCCAGCCTAAATGGCCCAATCGGAGCCAAGCAGAACGCCCCTCATTGCGGTTCTCTTTCTGCCTGAAACAGGCAGTTGATTTGTTTGTTTCGTTTTTCTTGTTGTTCCGGCGGAAGTCGTAAAACTCGAAAAGAACGGTTAATAGCGGTTTGCAGACAGGCGAGGATGGTGGGGTGTGTGTAATTTTTCCTCTGACCCTTCCATTGCAATTACCGCTGGCCTCTCACCCTTTTGGCTTGCTGCCAAGGCAGCGGCGTGGTACGATACTTGGACTCACACTCTCGCCGTACGAGACGCTGCTTGTTGAATATTCTTTGGACCAGGCTGACAATAAGATTGCATTGTGGGAGGAGTGGTGGTCTTTGGGTGCCAAATGCGATGGGAAATAAATTGAGCACAGCGTCGGGGAGACACAATGAAAGAGTATGAAATCATGTCTGCGTTGACAGTTGCCGCAGCTGTCCGTTTGGCCATTCGCCAAGAGCTGAATGCCACCCCATCCATTTCTCCCGACCACCCAGCTATTTTTTTTTTAGAAAGTACCGGCTGGGGTAAAACATACGGTTACCAGTGGGGCCATCTACACACATACGTACATACAAGCTTACATGTAGCGGCATTTGTATTTTTAGCCAGCAACGTTTTTAGAAGCACACTTTTGAGGGACAGCCCACGTGCACCTGCCTCTGAATCACGCCACTGCAGTCGCGTCGTCGCATTATCTACTTGAAGGTGCAAGGAATAGCAAAACAAGCGCAGTACGTATGGTCAAGTCAAGCGGGCGAAGGAGAGACAGGGGGGTGCTGACGTTGTGCTTTTCATTGTCAAGAGCAGGAGGAGACACACTGCTTCAGCACGCTGTTGAGAGCGAGCTTTTAGAGTCAGGACACGAAAAAAACACTAAAGCGGTGATTATCAAGGCAACCCACAAACGGCCTAAACAATTAAGAAGCTTTCACAAAAACAACAACCCAACCGATTAAAAAAGCACTGCAGTTGTTATTTGTTTGCTGCCTGCCGGTCGCACAATTCTTTTTTCTGCTGTGCGCAGATTACAGAGGAGCCCACAGACTCAAAAACAGTTCGATATTTCAGTTTTTCAGTTCTTATTTTTCCTCCCTTTACCTATTGAGCACGCTGTGGGCTGTTTTGGGGTTGCCACGTGGTCTTAAGCAAAGCTCGCCTCGAACCCACAAATAATGACCGAACCGACGAACTTTGAACACTACCATCAACAATTTTCCATTATCGCTTAATTCTTGCCGTATTCTTCCGTACAAACTGCATTCACATAATTTTCTGCATTACTGATGCAGTTTTTTTACGAAAAAATGCGCGGAGAGTGGAAATATAGCGCCGGACGTGGGCGAATGTTTGCGACTACGGCAGCCGTTCAGCAGTTGTTCCCTCCCTAAGCTGTAGTTTCCCCTGCCATTAATTGTCCTTGAGTGAGCTTTTGCTCTTGGTGATGAGCTTTCCTGAGAGACGAATAGCTTTTCTTTGCTCTCTCCCTGTCAAATTGGGCGCCAAAAAATCATATGCAGACGATTGTGTACTGAGGGTTGCAACATATGATATTCATATGTGTACTTGCACACATGTGTACATACGTACTATATGCAGAAAGCCGTATGCACTCATAGTGACTGAGAACCGTCGGCACCAAATTGGATTAGTGGCTGAGAGAGAGAGAGACAGTGGCGTGACCCAGAGAACGCATGGCAACGTAATATTTCCGGCGTGCAATATCCGTATAGCCAAATCAAACTTTACTTTACTATACATAGATTTGACCACATATGTATGTAAGTATATCCTCTGATCGATACACTTTCTTGAATTTATTTACCTAGGTAAAATTTTGATTCCGGAGCCCGGATTCCCGTGTCCGTTACCGACAAGAGAACACACGTAACTGCAATTAACCGTAAATTGCAAAGAGAAACAGCAGAAAACAACGCCAATGAGTGACAGAAGCAAAAAAAAAAGCAGAAGTCTAACACAAGCCCGGATCGCCCTACCGATTAGCAACTGCGGTCCCCATCCATGTACATTGCACTAGCCGAATGCAGAAAACAACTTAATTACACATGCTAGCAATACTAATGTGCCTAGACAGATAGTCATCAATTACGAGGTGGTGTGTGTATAAAAATCCTATCTTTTTAAATTGGCAATCTAAACGGAGAGCGCTACTATTGCCTTGATCAGATTGCGCTTTGTCCAGAACGATTTCATGGTTTACAGATTAACCATAACCTGCCGGTAAATTGTTTATTCTTAAAACCAAAGTATTGATTTTCATATCATCTCATTCAACATTAAATAAAATGTCAATGGTCTAAGGTAAATTTATATTTACCTAATATTAGATGCAGCCCGTTCCAAAAGTAAACTTTCGCTGATCTCCATGTCACCTGTGCCATTACCTGTGGCGGCGCCAACGAGTCCAGTAATGTAAAATGTACTGCATTTATGTACAGCTACATATGAATCTGGTACAAGGTTACATATTTAGATTTTTATATTAAAGAACATACTTTTTTGTATCATTTTAGTATTGGGGCATTATCATACATTGTTTTGAATTAATTTGTTCAGATTTTCGATTTTTTTTTTATATATTGTTTTGTCTTTAATTTATGAAATGTAACCTTAATAATTCCCAACAATTTTTAAACAAGATAAGAAAAAACATGACGCTGCTGTCTTGCTGAGTCGATAATGTGGCGTCTCATCCGTTGCAGCAGGAACAGGTGATCGACGGCGGAATTGTTGGTTCACGCCCACGGGAAATAATTCCAGCAACCCCACCATTCATACGCCGCCGAATCAAACGCTGGTCTTCAGCTTCGATAAGCGTAAGTGAATCAGTATATATGTAATTGTAGATATATTTTAAAATAAATCTTCCTTCACAGAGGACTTCTGTAACCTACGCTTTGCCACAAGCTGAGTCGTATCCGGTTTCCCCCCGCCACACGGAGTCCTATCCAAGCATTACCGAGGCGTATTCGAGACATACCGAGGACTATCCCAGCTAGACAGAATCGTATCACCTAACGAGCCATCGTCATCCTTCGACATGGCCAGCGACAACAAGGACTTTGACTATGGCTACTAGATTCTAGATAGATATCGTTGCTGTTAGGTTTAAGGATATACGCGATTATATATTTAGACAGTAGATACGATTGTTTTCCACTTGTTTATTTATTAATACTAAGCTAAGTTATGATAAATAAAACTATTGAAAAATAATCCTTGCTGTATCCTATACCGGGGAAACTATCCCGATTACAAATAGTGCAGAAAAATAAATATTTTTAAATGAGAAAAATGTCCTTGATCCTTGATAAGGATTCCATCAAATCAGGGACATTTTATCGAGCACAGGAAGCCGTCGCAAGACCAGATCGGCCCACAAATAGACAAAAAAGGTATATATGTATGTATGTCGGGAGAACATATCCTTGATCCTTGGTCCTTGATAGGGAATGAATTAGCTCAAGGAAGCTATTTCGAATGCAGGAAGCCGTCCCAGTTCCCGATCGGGCCACAAATAGCCGAGAAAACTAAATATGTATGGTTGGGGGTTTTGGAGTCCTTACCGAAGGATCAAGCAAATTTTTGTGATCACGTCGGGCCATGGTTAGCTCTGATATGGCTGCAAATAAGGGGAAAAAACGGTATATATGTCTGGAGAAAATATCCTTGATCCTTGGTCCTTGATAAGGAATGAATTATATCAAGGAAGCTATTCCGAACGCAGGAAGCCGTCGAAATTCCCGATCGGACAAGAAATGGCGGACTAATACCATAAACAACAAATTACAACAACAACATCCAGTTATTACAACAACAACTACTTCCCTTTAGGGGCACTCAAAACCGAGATTTTTCGATTTCCAGATCTGGGATACCAGGCAAACAGAAATCAGCAGAAGGTCGCTGGGTTTTTTTAAATTTTTGTAATTTTCCCGCCATTTTTCAAATTTAAAATTTTGCAACGTTTTTTCATATTTTCTTTGGCCACGCTTTCCGTTCTTCGGCCGCTCAAAATGGTGGAAAACGAGAATTTCAAATCTGGCATACCAGGCAAACAGAAATCAGCAAGAGGTCGCTGGTTTTTTTACATTTCTTTTAGTCTATTTTTTCCGTTTTTTCCTATTTTCTTTGGCCGTTCAAAGTGGTTTAACGGCAGAATTTAAAATCTGCGATACCAGGCCAACAGAAATCAGCAGAGGGTCACTAGTTTTTTAAAATTTCTTTTATATATATAATTTTTTTCCCCTTATTTGTGGCCCTACCGGGGCTAATCATGGTCCGAAGTGATGACAAAAATCTCCTTAATCCTTCAGTAAGGACTCCAACAACCCCAAAGATACATATTTAGTTTTCTCGGCTATTTGTGGGCCGATCTGGGCGTGTGACGGCTTCCTGTGATTGAATAATGTCCTTGGGTTGATGGAGTCCTTATAAAGGATCAAGGACATTTTTCTCCTTCAAAAATATTTATTTTTCTGCACTATTTGTAATTGGGATAGTTTCCCCGATATAGGATACAGCAAGGATTATTTTTCAATAGTTTTATTTATCAAAACTTAGCTTAGTATAAATAAATAAACAAGTGGAAAACATTTTTATCTACTATCTATCTAAATATATGGACTATCTAATATATATCCTTAAACCTAACAACAACCAGATCTATCTATAGTCTATCCCGCGTAGCTCCTCCCTTGATTGCCATAGTCAATGTCCTTGTTGTCGATGGCTAGATCGAAGGATGACGATGTCTTGTTGGGTTGCAAGCATTACGCCTCGGTAATGCTTTGATAGGACCACATTGTCAACTCAGTGACATAGCAGCGGCATCATGGCCATGGCCCCCAGCAGGACAGGCAGGTGCTGCTACAATCCCGCCAGGAGTCATCTCTTGGACCTCCCGGGAGGACCAGGAGCTACGGCAGAATCACCCGCAGATGAGGTACCGACGGCGGAGATTGGAGGCGACGACCTGCTTAAATGAAAGAAAGAGTTAAATGAAGTAAATCAGTAAATAATAACTTAATAACTTAACCTGGCGGGGTAAGAGAAGAGGATCGCGGCATAGCAGGTTGTTGCTGGAGAGGCTATCGGCCACTAGGGCTGGAGGGAATACAAAATACAAAAAGTAGTCAATGGAGAAGATGAATAGAGGGGTAACAAGGAAAACTTACCCGGTCACAGCCGATGAGGTAAAGCATGGTGCAGCAGGGAAGATGATGTCGCACCTGCGAAGCACGTTCGTCGTACAAATAAATAATTTACCAGCTGCTGGCGCGATGCACGCAATCGTGAATGCACTATCGATCCGTCCCAACGGGTCATGTGCAAAAGAAAGCGCGCGTTTCAACTGATTTAAGGTGGGAAAATCACCAGGGCGGCACTGAAAAGTGAACGTGGGCCAGTGAAGTGGCCAGTGGGCCACTCCACGAAAACGATGAGTTTTGAAGAATTATACCGCAGTTCAGATGAAAGATAGCATGGTGTTTTTTGTAAGTAAAGAGGATCTAAAAGAAGAATTTACAAACAGTATTATTTTCAGCGGTTTTATTCAAATTGTTCCCTTGTTTAAATAGAGGGGGCTAAGTTCGTTTTAGTCATCGGTATATTTACGGTATATATCGGTATATTTCTGGGTCACGGTATATCGATAAATGATATTATAAATAAAAATAAATAAAGTAACTTGGAACTTTAATTGCAGTGCTTGCAGAAAAAATCCACAGGTTTTATAAATTCCCCACGAATACTGCCGTTCGTGTGAAAACGGAGAAAACTCTGCAGAGTCGTTGCCAATTTGGGGAAACTGTAAAAGGAAAAACACAAAGCAGTTCTGTGTGCGTGTGTGTGTGAATTAGTGTGGGCGCCGCGTAAACAACACCAACAATGGTCGGAATTATTGATGAAACGCAGCTGTTTTATCCGCTGGGAACACGCATCAAAATAGCTAACAACTACGGTACAGTGCGATATGTGGGCGAGGTAAGCGGCAAAAAAAGTCCTTTGGCATCCAGACATATGATTCAAACGTGTTCATTTTACAGGTGATGGGACACATGGGCACTTGGCTGGGCATTGAGTGGGATGACGGCATGCGAGGCAAGCACAATGGAATTGTGGATGGCAAGCGTTACTTTCAAACGCAAATGCCCACCGCCGGCAGTTTCATACGTCCGGGAAAGGTGGGTCCTTGCGCCAGCCTGGAGGATGCTGCCCGCGAGCGGTATCTGAACTACGACTCGAGCAATGTGGATGAATCGCTCATTCGGGAGGCCCAGGCCAGTCTTCAGGCCTCACTCTTCGAGGTCGTGGGGATGGACAAGTTAGCGCGCAAGCAGAGCAGGTTCGAACAACTTTCGGAGGTGAGCGTCGATGAGACGCCAGTGAATGCGGCCGGGTACCTGAAGGATTTGACACAGCTGACGACGCTGAATGTGAGCCACACGCTGATTTGGAACTGGGAGACAGTGGCCAGCATGACGCAGCAGCTTCCATCCTTGAAGAATCTGAATCTTAGGTGGGTAGACGCGTGCATCGCTTACTTGTTCGGTTAATGATTTGATTTTTTTTTAGCTCCAATCGCTTGGTCTTGCCGTCGGCATCACAAATTGCGGAGTTGGAGCCTGCCTTCCGTCATCTGAAGCACATCAATTTAAGTAGTTGCGGCTTCACCGACTGGAAGGATGTCATGCAGACGGCCTTACTCTGGCCGCACATTGTGTCGTTGAGTCTGCAAGAGAACCCCCTAAGTCAACTTTCCGAAGTCGACTGCAAGCGGATTTTTACCCAGCTGCAGGAACTTGACTTGCACCGCACAAACCTTATGGATTTTGACCAGGTCGTCAAGTTGGGCAATATCACCACATTGCGCTCATTGAACCTCATAGAGAACGGATTCGAAGAGATTAAGCTGCCCGACTGTGAACCTCATGCCAAACTCAACATGTTCGTGTCTCTGGAAAAACTCAACTTACTCCACAATCCCATTTGGAATGAGGTGAGCCGGCTAAGTCGGTAAGATCGGCTTTGATGTTCTATTAAATGTTGAACCTTGTTCTCCGCACAGGCTGCTGCATTCAATGAGTTGGATAAGCTGCCGAAGTTGAATCACCTGAGCAAGACGCCCCACTTGAAGTCAAATTTTGATGAAATGGTATCCAAAGCTGTGGGCTGCATTGCAGGATTGCAGTTTATCAATAAAGCTAAAGTGACTGCGGGGGAGAGGCGCGGCGCCGAGTACGATATTTGGAAGAAATACTCCTTGGAATGGATGCAGGCGACGCAACAGGGAGCAGATGCTTTACGGGAGTTCTGCCGAAAGCATCGCACCTATCCGTACCTAGTTAAAAGTATGCACACAGTACATACACATATGTGAATCGATTAGCTTATTATGTTTCCCCATTCTCTCACTATCTAGAGTATGGCTCACCGGCGGACTTTGTTCCGGGAATACAGGTCAAGAAATCGAATCTGATCAAGCTCTTCATACTGCATCAGGCCACTGGCGAGACCTGGGAGAAGAAAGTGCCCCGAATGATTACAGTGCAAACGTTGCAGGGATTGGTCATGAAGCGGTTCCGACTGACTGACGTCGTTCCCCAGCTCTCTTACCACGATGCCAAGCATCCCGAGCTGCTGGTTCCCCTGGATAACAACGCCAAGACTCTGGACTTCTATTCAGTGCAGGAACAGGACACAGTTTTGGTTCAGTAGCGGCTTCCCCATTCTATTTTTTGTATTCGATTGTGGTATTTTAGTCTTAGGCAAAGTGTTAAATTATTGTTCTGATCCGCGGCACTTGCAAAATTAAATTACTAATGTTATCCTTTAGGTACTGATAAGTTGAAATTTCCACTGCAATTATATGCGATATTTATATTTTGTTTTGCTTATAAAACCTAAACAACAAGTTGCCCAATCCATTTTATTTTGGTAATGTTCAAAGGATGGTTCCACACAATCGACAACTTAAATTTTACTCGCACCAAGGCAATAAACGACGAATTGGGGGTTCGACACATCAAAGTATATAGTCGAAATCTGTTTAATAAAAACAGATAGGAACAGGCACTTTTCGAGAAAAACGCCAATTAAATTTCAGACATCCTTTGCCTTGCTAGTGTACGGTTTAAATTTAAGTTAAGTTATTTAAGTTAAATTTAAGTTAAGTTAAGTTACAAGCAAGACCGAACGCAGCCAAAGTCGAGGCGACAGGCTTCAGAAAAGGTCAAAGTTCTGTGTCATGTACCTTATACATGTACATTTTAATGTTGTTTTGTAGCCGGAAAACAAAGCGCACCAAGAGCACCAGCGTCGGGAATGGCAGTCAACGTTTGCCCCAAAATCCAAGCTAAAAATATTGTTTGACCCTCATTAAGTTCTGAAATTTGGTTTGCTCGGCAAAAGCAAAGAACACATTAGGAAAGGATGAACGAGCAAGTGGTCAAGTTCTATATATGCTACAATGAAACTGAAAATACTCTTCGGTCTTCGGGAAAGACGACTTTCACCATGAAATAAGTGTGCCTTAATTATACCCGATACTCAAAATGAGTATTGGGGTATATTAGATTTGTGGTAAAAGTGGATGTGTGTAACGTCCAGAAGGAATCGTTTCCGACCCTATAAAGTATATATATTCTTGATCAGCATCAATAGCCGAGTCGATTGAGCCCTGTCTGTCTGTCCGTCCGTCCGTCTGTCCGTCTGTCCGTCTGTCCGTCCCCTTCAGCGCCTAATGCTCAAAGACTATAAGAGCTAGAGCAACGATATTTTGGATCCAGACTTCTGTAATATGTCACTGCTCCAAAAATATTTCAAAACTTTGCCCCGCCCACTTCCGCCCCCACAAAGAGCGAAAATCTGTGGCATCCACAATTTTAAAGATACGAGAAAACTAAAAACGCAGAATCGTAGAGAATGACCATATCTTTTAGACTGCAGAATCTGAATTCGATCGTATTATTATTATAGCCAGCATCAAGAAAACAATTTCATTTTTTCTCGCCCTGTCTCTCTCTAACACACAGGTAGCATAGGCGGCTTTGCTTAGAGTAAAACATTAGCGCCTAGATCTCAGAGACTATAAAAGCTAGATCAGCCAAATTTGGTATCCACACTCCTAATATATCGGACCGAGACGAGTTTGTTTCAAAATTTCGCCACACCCCCTTCCGCCCCCGCAAAGGATGCAAATCTGGGGATATTCACAAATCTCAGAGACTATTAAAGCTAGAGTAACCAAATCTGGTATCCGCACTTCTGTTAGATCTCACTATAAAACCTTTATCTCAAAATTTCGCCCCACCCCCTTCCGCCCCCACAAAGGACGAAAATCTGTTGCATCCACAATATTGCAGATTTGAGAAAACTAAAAACGCAGAATCATAGATAACGACCATATCTATCAGATTGCTGAATCTGGATCAGATCAGATCATTTTTATAGCCAAAGGAAACAAATCAATTTGCAGTGGCTACGCAGCGCGTGACGTCACGCTCAGACTGATTTTCTGTCTCTCTCGCACGCTCTCTTTGTCGTGTCGTTTAATATTAGCGGCGTCTGCCGGAGGAGAGCCATACTGACTTAGTATCGGGTATAACCGTAGAGTTGCGGTGTCCGCAGCAACTCACAACGTTCCACCTCGTTTTGTATTAGCATTACCATCCCCATTCGATATAACCAAATATTTGTTAATAGAAAGTAAAAGATACGATGCTTATTTCAATTGTATTTTTACATGTTACAATTTCAGGAAAATGAGTAAAGTTCCTTTAGTTCTTCCGCGTTGGTCTTGCAGGAAATTGTTGGAACAGGCAAAACCGCGCATTGGTCGGCACTTTTGACAAAAGTTGACAGACCTTCTTCAAGTGTATACGGAACAGAAAAGAGAACAGAAATAGAAGCAGAAAACAAGAAAAGTCCGTACCAAAGTAAGATGCGAGAAGTTAGTTTTTTCTTTTCCTTCCTTTTTGCCGCTCCCAAACTCATTTTCTTCGCTAAGATGTAAATAGCAGGCGAAAGAAAAACATCAGTGGGCATCCGAGTGACAGCGCCGGCGGCAAGCTTACAGAAAAGTAAGGTGAACATTTTCCGCCTGCCTGCAGGCACCACTGGCACCCTTCCTCCATCCTCCAGCCTCCGTACATAGGCGCTCGTCAGATATGGTGGACTCCCAATGCCAAGAAAAAAGCAACTTCAACCTCAGCACAAAGGCTATATCGTAATCAAAATAATCGTTGTAGTCCTGCTAAACCTTCGGGCTACTATATACTTTAACTCGCTACGTAATAAACCCTCGACAATGGAACCAATCTGAAATATCATCCTCATGTAGGTTCGCCGAAGCTTGACTTCCCTTTCGATCTGACTTGTTGAATCGGAATCGATTCGGCGGGATTCGGTAGCAATTTAGCTTTCGAATCTGGTCTGATTCGGAGTGATTCGAATCCGACTGAGGGAAGGATCGAACGCATTACGGGGGGCATTTACGAATACTGCGGATTCATGCAGCTCTCTAGTATGTATGCTTTTCCTTCCTGTTGCTGTTGCCCCACTGACACGCACATCGGATCATAAACAATCCTTAAGCGTGTGCACTGAAAAGTACAGCCTTCGCATACTTAATCTCGGGAAACTTTCATTTTCACCCTCACGGCGTTAAGAGTAAACAAATTTGCAGAGGAACGGACCAGCAAGCGACTGGGGTACCTAAACCCTAATGAAAATGTACTAAAAGTGCGGCACAACGCTTGCAAAATTATGCAAAAATAAACATCGAGTGAAAGAATGGAAAATGAGGGAAAGGCACACGCAAAGTAAAAAGTACGATAAAAACAAATGCGTCTTCTTTTGTGTGGGCCTCCTTCCCGGTGACAAGGTATATTAAACGGAAGGTCGAACGGCCGTACTGAGGCTTACCTTCTATATGGCTGTAGGTAAATTTCCGCTCCTCTGCTCTCAGCTCTCTTCTCTGTGCTTCTCCTCTGTCGAGGTGATTATCCATAATCCCCAAAAAGCGTTGGTTGGGCGGAGGATGACGATGACTCCCGGCTGTCGGATTGAATGACTAAAGACAAAGTTGCTGGGGCCGCTGCCGTTGCCGCTGTCCTTGCCCAGAAGATAAATGCGGGATGTAATATTCGCTTGTCCCATAGCCATGTCCTGCCCCGCCTCCACCACCAGGCGGGATAGACAGGTACGAGATGGCGTGAGTTCATATTCGTTGCTGCGCAGGAATCTGTAGTCTGGCGGCGATAAAGCATCTTTGTGGCGACAATGAATCGGGGATAAAGCTTTTTACGTGCCAGCGGGCAAATAAAGTGCTTCTCCGTATCTCATCCCCATCCATCCCTGCCACGTACATACACAGCTGTTTCGGCTGCGGCGGATTGTTTGTCAGCTCCGGCGCTGATTTCGCATAATTTTATGCATGTAGTACATTTGCCCCAGAGAAAAGCGGGGATACGCCAAATGTGCGACCGTCCTTCCCCCCCACCACTGAGGAGTTTGTTGAAAATCTTTAATCGTTTTAGAAGGCAGATTAAAAAGGCATCTTTAATAGGGGCTCTATTTAGATTAGCATCATCAAAATTCATCAAAATTATGCTTGTGACTGTTTTCTCTCAGTGCAGACCACACCTAAATTTCTCACAAATTACAAATTGTCCTTTTATGCAGTGAAAACAACACGTTCTTCTTGGATGTTTGGTTTAAATTTAAACCCGCCAGAAGGGTACACAAAAACCACAGAAAAGTCATTTCCCTTTGAAGTAAAACGGCATCGGCTTTTTAAGCTTTAGCAGACTGCTGTAATGAATTTCCACTACTCCTTCGATGTGGAAACAGAGGGCCAACAACATCCATGACTCGGCCCAAATGGTTCCGAATCGAATGAAGCCATTTCAGAGTGCATTTGACTGGAAGACCGCAAACCCAATTTCTCATTCCTCTCCGACGATGGCAGTGCATACAAATCAACAGTTATCCAAACGAAATAACAGCCATGTAGCTCCCCCAAGCCACCCATCCGCAAAACACTCATCTTACACCCACCTGGGTGTGACATCCATGACATGAGCGGAGTGTGCTCTCGTTGGCCACGGAAAAACTGCAGTTTCACTGCCGGGAGCTGCTCTGGCCGGGCAACAAGTGGGGATTGCTGTATCCCCTGACACATTTCCAGCCCGCAAACAATCTCCCCGACATTGTCTTGGGCCATGTACACGGGAAATACAGTAAAAATCATCTCTTTTATGGGCCAACGGGAAGGAAGGGCTGACTGAACTTTTCATGTCATAAGCATGAGACTTTATCGGGCCGTTGCCGTTGCCGGGGCAGACAGGGGCAGGCCCCACCCTCCTTTCAACTTCGGCATTGTATGTCGAATAGAATATGGGTCTCAACTTTGGCTTTAATTTCGAGCCAGCGTTGCGGGAGTCCCTTTAAGGTCTGTATATTTGAGAAATTATTTGAGAAGCAACAAGCAATTCTATCCAGACCCTATCCCTTTACATCAGCCATTACTGTATTACCTTGTGGGCCCCGTCCCGCCCCTGCCACGCTCTATTGTGGCTAATTTGCAACGGTTTGTAATTTTGTATATTGGACATTTTGTATGAATTGGTACCCTTGTCAGTCAGCATCTATCGATGGGCTATGTTCCGTTTTGGTCCTTGAACACCTATTTGTGTCTCGGATACGGATGGTGGAGGGGGGGGCGGCATGTTGTTATGCAAATTACAGGCCCGCGCACACATGACTGCATGTATGGCATGAATGGGAATCCAAATGGGGATGGGACTAAGAGATAGGGTGTGCCAGTGGGTGCGGCTTGGTGGTGGGGGGAGTGCGGAGAGGTGAGCCGGATTCAGAGTAAACGTTTTGAATGGTTTTAATAACTTTGCACACTCACACACATGAAACTCACCTGCTGACGCAACAAGAGCCGAAAAACAACGACTAGGGACAACAATGGGCCTTGGTAATGCGATTTGGATGAGCCCCATACATACATACATAAGTATGTATGTATATATGTTTTTGTTTGCATGTTCTGCATGGGACATGGCTTGAATGCCGTGGCAGCTGAAAATTAATTCCGCTCACTAGCCAGCCCTGAAGCCTCAGAAATAAATGCTTGCGAGGATTATACATACATTTTATGTATTCCGAGATAAGTCCTGGATGTATCACATTTGGATATTCCGAAATGCAATTGTGACCATTCGAAACGGCTATTATCCTTCAGTCCGAAGCAAATGATTTAATTTGATTCGTGGGGTCCTCGCTCGACTCACTCACTCGGAGACTGGCAACAAAGTTTGGCAATGTTTTGGCTCCGTTGATGCCATCCGAAGGGAATGAAATTATGCTGGGAAACTTTTTAAATGAAGTCAAGAGATAATTAAATCCCATTTTTATTCCAGGGCGTCAAAGCGCTTTGTTGCCAAAGTTATTAAGAAGCGCCCCGAGGAACGAGCCGGGACCCAAGTGCTGCATAGTTGGGTCGGGGGAGGAATTTATGTACGTAGAGCTCTGTTCAGTGGGAACAATGCTCTTAATTAAAGCAGGACTGATGGCCCCCTGCTAGGATGCACGAGGAATCTGTGAGCAGGTGAGCCAAAACCAATTACAAAAGCTGCCCTCAAAAACCCAAAACTGACAGAGAGCGAAAGAGCCAGGCATGGGGCGTGGAAGTGAGTGGCTCTCATATGCAAAACATGGGAACGTGTACGTGCCGGCCATAGGTCAGGCAATTGCAAAAGCTTGTGTGTGTTTCCTTAGGAAGGCTGCTGGAAAATTTCGACTGGTGCAGAATGCAGGATGCATCTGGCATCTGGCACCTGGCACCTGGCACCTGGCATGATACCACGGAAGAATGGCTGTCCAGCTGCGGTGGAATCATGGTGACGCTATTTTGGGGATACCGATTATGCACGTTCATTGCAGGTAAATCAGGCAGCACCCATATTGCCCCCGAGGCCTGCGACCCGGACCCGTGGCAGCATAAATCGCAGAAACCAAGCCAAAAATGAAAACGAAGCTGCCATTTTGTGGCCGTGTTGTGGCGGAAAATGAAAGTTAATTGGTTTAAGGAGCTTTACGGCCGAGGCGGTGAACTGGCAGCAGGCAGTAGACAGGCGGCAAGGCAGGCCTGGCCCGGCCCGGCCCGCCGAAGCGCAATGAGGCGAATGCGTGAAAACGGCGTGGAGGGAAGAGGCTTTTATTCAGGCCTGTAATCAGCCTATGACATGGTGGCTTGAGTCATACAGATATGGCTGAATGAATTCATTTGCAAGCCAGGGGACTGTCTCCCTGCCTCCCTGTCTCCCTGCACCACGAATGGGTAATAATTCGCTGGCTGTTGCTTCTAATTGGTAAAGTTTTTCGAGCACTTAGTATCCAACAAATTGTCGTCGCCGTCTATAATTACTGCTACTTATCATACTTATTGAATGACTTACATCCTTTTCATGTACTTACGTGTACCTTGGGGCACAGCAGGGGGTTTCTGCAGGATAATACGGGAGTTCTGTTCTGTATTTGTCCCTCTGTGAATTCCATTATTCAACGCTAATTAAACTTGCAACAGCCTGTCCACAAATAGTTGCTTTTAACACATTTTCCCAATTATCTATTCGACAGGGACTGACCTCGACACTCGACCTTTGTATGTCTGTATACAGTGCGTATCGCAAGAGTAAGAAGAGCGTGACAATGCACACATTTTATCCGAAAGGATAAAGGAGAACAATTTTGTATTACAACCGAAACTCTTATGTAGATTCATATCAAAGGAGAGATTACAAATCTTTGCATTTGAGATTAGCAAACACTCTTTGCGGATTTTAGTTCTGAGAATCACTGTACACCCTCTCCCTCTTACGTGGTGGCCGGATATTGATTTAGGGAAAATCGCAAGGACAACGGCTTTCCATTTGAATTGAATCTGCATGCACAGATCTAGTAAGTCCATTCAATTATGGAAATGCAAATGAAGCCGCTGCCCCTGAACGGCAAGCACTTAATCAGCAGGCCTCGAGTCGACGCAGAGGACGCTCGGCCGGAGTGACCTCATTCGAATTGCACATGTTCGGGCAGGCGCTTATCAGCAGCTGGCAGACGGACGATGGCAGATGGAAGTCTGCATGGTGGACAGTGGCATTGTCCTGTCCACCGGCCAACACATGCACATGCCTACAACAGAGGCAGTCGTGCGGAGGAGGTTGGTTTTCGAAACTGAATGTCGCTTATTGCCCAATGATCAGGGCATTTAAGTGAACAAAGTGATTATCCCGAGCCGAATGTCTGCTTTGATACCAATTTTATCGGCCATGTCCTTGTTGAATAGCCGAACGCAAGTGCCAGGTTTCACATCGAATGGCAAATCGGAGCCCAGAACATGGGCAACCTCTCTGGGCTCTTGTTCGCCCAATGTGTGGCAACATGAATTCCCCATCAGCAGAGCACTGCCACAGAGCCCGCCCTCTGCTCTGCTCTGGCCAGGGATTGAATTGGAATCGACTGTTTGGGGTTGATTGGTAATCAATCTCGGAGCATAATAATTATCTGTTCATTTGAATTTATATTCGTTACGTTGATTGGCATCGTTCGGCAGGCACACACAGTGCCTACGTACGTGTACTCCAATTATTTCCAAATACCAAATTCTATTGAAATATTGAATTTCATTGGGGACTTTGCGACTTTCGGTTCGACTAGTTAATTTCATTGTTAAACAAACCGCAACCGCAGAGCAAACAGTGAAACGACCCCACAATAACGACAACAGCAGCAAACAGATGGCCAAAACGACAATTCAACTTTAAACGAACTGGAAATGGGAGAAGGTCTCGGCCCGGCACCGACCAGAGGCATCATTAATCATGAGTAGCTACAGTTGGTCCGGGCTGTGCTCCAGGTTCGTGGGGCACACGCTTAGGCGGGTTTTTTCTCCACTTTCGTGCTTTTCTTTCAGCTCTTCCCTTTTGCGGCATTAAATTTTAATCCCGCTCAAACACACACACTGGCAAATGGACAAAAAGAAGGCTTCAACCTTTCCGACGAGCGTCCACCGCAAAAGTTAATGGCATTTGGGAAAGTGTAAAGCGAAACGGGGAACTGTCCAATCCTCTGGCCCAGAGGCTGGGGCTGCTGAGCCGAAACTTTTGTCGGGCAGTGTTGCGCGTCAATTCGCGCTGAGTGCATGTGGGCGAAACTCCCCTGCCATCCCCGCCACCACTGCCACCCCTGTCTCAAGTGTTGATGAGTTGTGATGCGTCTCCCTTCATCATCTGACGCTGATCGAGCATCAGCACAATATTTTGTATGAAATGTCACATCATGTAACATCATCTTGGCAGTGAAACCTCGACAGGAAACACACATTTACACAGGAGGAGATCATGATGACAACTTGCCCACACTTTACCCGTAATGCCCGCAAGACGGCGGAGTCCCCTTCGAAGCTCGTCCAAGTGGCCAAAGTCGAAAGTCGTCCACGACGATGCTTTAACAACTATAATGCGATCGCTTACAGGTTGTAATCAATATCAAGAGCAGCCAAACAACAAACACGGCAGCACGAACAGGAAAAACAAGCACCACCGGGGTGGTGCCGGGGGGCAGCAGCATCAAAGAAAACTTTTTGGCTTCTATTTCCACAGTCCAGGGCGAAGTTCGAGTCGCTCCTTGGTCCTTGGTCGTTGGTCCTTGCTGGTTGCTTCAGTTGGCCCATAAAAAACTTTTTCCATTACTTCTAGACCAGCTGCACATAACTGTTAAGATGTCTCTGCTCCTACTCCTACGCTCGCGTGCCGTGGCCCCATCCGCACTGGTCTGGTCTCCTATCACATTTCCCATTGTTGTGTGCTGATAGGAGCATGATGCATGGCCTCCGCTTTTATTACATTTAATATTGATTGATTGTTCTGGATGGACTACTCAAGTATGCTTCTGTTGACGCTCCGCGAGCAGGCCCTTGACCAGATTCACCAGCAAGTCCAAACCTTCCTGATTGCTTTTTTGGTAGTAGGGCAGGGCCTGCAGGCGCTTCACCCACTCAGCGAGGAGGGGATACTTGGCCGCCTCGAGGGGGGCGAACGCCTCGGCCGTTGACACCGAGGCAATGCAGCACAGGTCCGCGATGGTCAGTTTGTCGCCAGCCAGGTAGGGGCCGCTAGCCAGGCAGTGTTCGAGGCCGTCGTAGGCCTTCTGCAGATAGACGACGCGGTCGGCGGGCACATCGGATACCCCAAAGTAGATAACGGGCTCCACGATGAACCGGATGCGGGGAAAGATGTGCCCGCAGTCGTAGTAGAGACGCGCGTCCACTGTGCGCCGCTGTGCGGGGTCCCTCGGGTACAGGGAGTCGCTTGCGCCTCCGAACTTGTCCGCCAGATAGCTGCAGATGATGTGCGAGTCGCTCACCACGGTGCCGTTGTCGTCTAGAACCGGAATCGTGTGCTGCGGATTTAGCTTGAGAAACTCCGCCGTCAGGTGCTCTCCCGCCTTTACATTAACAGCGCTGAGGTGAAAGGGGATCGGCGGACCGGCTAGCCAGTTACACAGAAGGAGAGAGAGGGAAGGCGAGCGATAACTTACCGTAAATCCAGCTCCAGCCCCAAGGCGGCGGCTGTCAGCAGCACGGCTCGGCAAGGGGGACTGCGGGGTGTGTAGTAGAGAACGGGTTTGTCTGACATTTTTGGCTCTAAAATGGATTAAATTATTAGATTTTTGCAGCTGCCACTAACTAAAAATACCTTTACTTATTAAACTCAGATTAGCGAATGAAAAGAGAACGACACATCACATTGATCGCTGGAGCTTTCAAAGCTCCCTCTCTTGACGACTGTTTCTACACTGCGCTCAAATTAGAGATGGGCCACCAAGCGCTACACTTCATGCATGTACGAAGTATGTTTGCATTATCTTTAAATGGTTTTATGTAATTAATAACCCGGTATAAGTTTATTTACAGAGTATTTAAGTCTCCGATATGCTTTCGTCCAAACGCACAGATTGCAATGCATTGCAAATGTATTTTTCCAGCTGAGAGCATACCATTCCAGAGACACATACATGTGTCATATCACTAACCATACAGTATATAGATGTGCCAGTTCATACAACGAAAGTGTCACACACCGGCTTGCGCTATCCGTACCCCAGAGTGACGTCATCATGAGAGAGAGAGCGCAGAGAGAACATCTTTGCATGTGTTAGTACACACGCAATATGTTTCGACAAAAATATGTGATTGTATGTTTTTTCAGATTTTTTGAACTCTCTCAGGTCTGATCTGTTTTGCCACCAGCATGTTTTAGTGTATGGGTGCACATGCATTCTCACGTACTTTGCGTGTGTGTGTTTACTATTGCTGGCCGCTAGAACTGAAATTTGAGTTTGGTTCTTGTTTCGGGTCTTTTGATGGACTGACCTACCGCCACAAAATAAATGAAGAATGGGCAGGGGGTGGGGGTATGGTACACTAGGGCGCGGGAAACAAAATAAAAGCTGTTATTTGTTTGATTTATACCACAAAATATAAAATATTACAATAATATAATTGCACATTTATTTCCTTATCTTTAGCAGGTTGATTATAAATTATACAAATTATGCAAACGCCGTCGGTTCTCGACGTTTTTGTTTATTATAACTAAAACAATGATGTATCTAAATATACAATATAAGAAAATATATATATATATGTACTTAAATAAATATGCATAAATATATATATTTTTACATATATTTCAAATCAATTGTCAATCGCGCGCTTTCCGACGGGAATCTGCAAAGTACAAATTTAGATGCCGGTCGCACCAAAAAGCTGTTCTATGGCGGGTCCTAACATTAGAACCCAAACGGCACGAGGGAGCGCGCGGGGTTTTAATTCCCTTTTCGCCTGTACTTCGTCTCTACCGCGACCCCGCTGCCCATCGGTTTCGTCTGTTCGGCAATTCTGGACTCTCGAGCCTCAGCACCGTCGAAGCGGTGGTCGCGGATCGCCGATGTCTTTGGAGCGGCACAGTGGGAAAATTCGATAGGAAAATTCTCTATTAGAATTTATCTAAAGCACTCATACAATTTTTGTACTATTCCGGCTGAGTCCCCACTGTGCCGCGCCAAAGACATCAGCGACCACGCTGCCCTACGGTTTCAGCACGCAGACGATTCATATTTTGTTTTTGTATTCTTTCTCTCGAGACACACCGACTCGACGCTGACCGGGCAGCAGTAATTTTGAAAACCCTCATGCAATATACGAATGTAATAAACTTTAATATTTATGTGCATATGTATGTACATAAGATATGTTATAATTGAATTAGAAAATTTATGGGTATTGTCCATGAGAGTATTCAAGGTGCGACCGGCATCTAAATTTGTACTTTGCAGATTCCCGTCGGAAAGCGCGCGATTGACAATTGATTTGAAATATATGTAAAACCAATTCCATTTATATTTATGCATATTTATTTAAGTATATATATATATTTTCTTATATTGTATATTTAGATACATCATTATTTTAGTTATAATAAACAAAAACGTCGAGAACCGACGGCGTTTGCATAATTTGTATAATTTATAATCAACCTGCTAAAGATAAGGAAATAAATGTGCAATTATATTATTGTAATATTTTATATTTTGTGGTATAAATCAAACAAATAACAGCTTTTATTTTGTTTCCCGCGCCCTAGTGTACCATACCCCCACCCCCTGCCCATTCTTCATTTATTTTGTGGCGGTAGGTCAGTCCATCAAAAGACCCGAAACAAGAACCAAACTCAAATTTCAGTTCTAGCGGCCAGCAATAGTAAACACACACACGCAAAGTACGTGAGAATGCATGTGCACCCATACACTAAAACATGCTGGTGGCAAAACAGATCAGACCTGAGAGAGTTCAAAAAATCTGAAAAAACATACAATCACATACTTTTTGTCGAAACATATTGCGTGTGTACTAACACATGCAAAGATGTTCTCTCTGCGCTCTCTCTCTCATGATGACGTCACTCTGGGGTACGGATAGCGCAAGCCGGTGTGTGACACTTTCGTTGTATGAACTGGCACATCTATATACTGTATGGTTAGTGGTCATATGTAGTACAAATGCGACAGACAAAAGCATGTATGTATGATAATTCAGTGGAGTCGAAAGCTCACACCGAAGTGAACTTCTCAAAATGCTCTTTACCGATTTTAATTTGAATTCACGCACCGAGCAGCTGACTAACTAAGAGGATTACATTACACATTTCCTGGGGGGCAGCCCTTTTTTCGTGCACGTTACGCAAAGGTGAAAAAATTAAATTTTTAAGCGGATTTCGGTATTAGTTAATGGCGCAGGCCGGAGGCAGCCCGCCCTCCTGCAGGAGCTTTTCCCTACAAAAAGTGAATATAATTGGATTTCGGCTGCTCTTCCGTCGAGTGGATGAGAGAGAGATGGATGGATGAATATTGGGAGACTGGCTGGGTAGGAAATGTATTCGGAATGCAGCGGAGCAAGAAAGAAAGAGGAAAAACGTCGATAACGTCCCGTCCCAGTCCCCGTCCCCGTTACCGTTCCGGTTCCCGTTCCCGTCGTTTTCGAACTCGAACTCAAGCTATTGCTCAAAGTGCTGCTCACGTGGAAGGTCCTTAAATATTTGGTCACGGGCCAGGACGACACCGAAATGGGAAAAATGTGCGCCCAGGTATGCGGGCGGGTGGCCCGCGACAAGGGAGACACACTTTAGCTCCTTTGGCTCGCTCCCCTGGCTCTCGGTGCCGAAGACAAATTTGTGAAAGCAATTTACAGTTATTAAAGCTTTTAGTGGGATCAAAGCATGCTGCCCTCACTCCCCAAGCCCCCGCGTGTCTCTCTTTGCTAGCTCTGAGTACAAGGCATTAAATTTAATTTGGTAATTGAATAATTTCTGTGACAAACACAGACACCGGCTCAGCCCCACGCTGGGGCGAAAACTTTTGCTGTTGGGAAAACTATGTTGTCTTCGCTTTTCCACCTCGGTCTCCGTCACTGCCACCGTCTAAGGAACAGTAACAGTCACAGTCCCAGATCCTGTCCCTGTCCTGGGGGTCGGGCTTTTGGTAAAGAACCTCAAAGGCGTCGCTGCAAAGCATTAACTAATTGATTGCCACTTGACGAGTGACATTTATCTTCATAACTTGGTTTTTTTTCCTTTAATTGAAATCACAGAGAAGACTCCGACTAGGCGCAAACTAGGAGTCCGCTGGGTGCGGAGCAGATGTGTCTCCATGGGCTCCAAACTGTGCATGAGATTAATGGTAATGAGAGAGCAAGGCCACACAGACACCCAGGACCATCCATCCCCACGACGGGCGGACGGACGGACGGACGGACGGACAGCTGTGTGAGCGCTTCAAGTGCAAAATCCAGTGTTATTAATGATCACTGTCGCTGCTTCGGAAGGGGTTTCGGGAGCCAGCAGCAACCAGACACCAGCCAGGGGATTGAGGTCCTTCCATAAATACTACTTAATTCCGTTGTTCCATTGGCATTTATAACAATTAAATTGTGGGTATTCTTTGGCTAATTGTTCGATGCGACCCGGCAAACCAAACCGAACGAAAGATGAAAGCACGCTTCATATAATCGTAGAGAAGGGGGCGAGGGGAGTACGTCTCTCCCTCCGTCAGAGAATGGCGGGAGGCGAGTGTATGGGCGTTTGTGTGTACTTCCAGGAATCTGATAAGCACAATGAAGATAAAGCCCGTATAAAGCCCATCTCTGGCACTGCCTTAAGTGCTTCAGACTTGGCAGCGCCTGGACATCCCGCATCCATCTGCTTATCGTCGTTTCCTTTTTTATTGGAAATTAATGTCCAGCTGGAGACAGGGGGTATAAATCGTTGCTCAAATTAAAAGTGACATCCCATTATGTAGATATAGATAAGGCAGAGAGACGGAGAGCAGAGTCAAATGAAGGGCAGGGCGCCCGAAGAAATCTTGACGGGCAATCAATGACTGACAATGGCAGTGTTTGTCCTGCAGAAGGATAACGGATGGACAGCACGGACAATGGAACGCTGCCGCCTAGTTGGGCACCCAAGTCGCAAATGCAGATTTGATTTTTGCTTTTTTCCCCCCAATTAAGGAAGAACTTGGTTCGAGATTTGTTCAGCCATTTCGGTGTAGTACTACCCGGTATTCCTTTCCAATGAACTCTCAATACGAAGGGTATGGAATACATTATATTACCCCTAATTATTGCTTGGACCGATTAAAGTTTTTTTTATAAGTCATGGGATGCGATTATGTATCTGACCCTAGACGAAATTCTGATGACTACTTACAAACAAACATTAATATAAATTTATCGAAAATTATCAGGAGTACCACAGATAACGACCACAGAAACCAATGTTATGGTTCGAGGTTAATCGAATTATAGAACTTTTCAGTGCCAGATATGGATCACAATAATATATAAAGTTTCCATGTTCTGTGGTCCGAGCTCGGGGGGAAGTACGCGGCGGAGAAGTAGAAATGTTCGACATTTTCTCAGAAGTTATAGATTTGTTGGGGATGGATGGTGGGAGTGGAAATTCCGATTGGTTCGCGCACTGGCGGTCACTTTTCATTTGAGAAATAAAAAAACGAAAGATGACCTTGGCATATGTTACCAATCGCGTTCCACGTCCCACTTCAGTCCCCACTCAGGGCCTACGTTCTCATTCAGCTTTGTCTTCGTCCATCAATGCCAGCCTGACACGCACCCTTGACCTTCAGCCCGCTGGCGGCTCCATTGACTTCTCTCAATGGGCATTCCGCCTGTGTCTTTGCACTTCAGCAAC